AGGTATGTAAGGTATGTAAAGTGCCTACCACAGTGCCAGTAAATGGTAGATGAAGATGCAGTAGAGAAAAAAGATGATGGTGGTGATAATACTGTTATGTCGTCTGCCCCCATATCACACTTCTTCTGTAAGGCTTCAGAGAGAAAGTTGGTATTGTATATATTTGTATACAAAAGTACATACATGTACACACATATTGTCCATGCTGCTAAACCTAAAGTTATACAGTGTTGCTTATAATCATGAAACCAGGACTTATACTTGGAGTCTCAGATTTGGAAGGAACTTTAAAGGTTACCCAGTCCAGCCTCCCTCTTCCTCCTAATGATTTAATATCTTCACCAATAGGTTATTTTACCTCTGTTTTCTCTTCCTCAGTGATGGCAAATTCATGCCTTTCCTTCCCAGAGAGTTTATCCTACTTTAGAAAACAGAGCTCCAACTGGCAGAAAGTTCTTCCTGATAATGTGCTGAAGCCTATCTACCTATAGCTTCCACTCACTAGTTCTAATTCTCTCCCTTGGGGTAATATTGAATGAGTAGAACAAATCTCCTCTCTCCTGCGTGAAATCCCTCTAGATATTTGCAAACAGCTCTCATATTTCCCCATGAGTCTTTTCTTTTAGTTAAACTTCCCTAGTTTCTTAAACTCTCACTTTCCTTGTTGCTTTTCATTAAATGAGATTGTGCATCTGTATCTCATTTAAAATGTAGGACCTAGAATTAAACATAAAACCCTACCTCTGATGTGTTCAGACTGGCAAGAATGGAGCATCCAGGACTGTCATCGTCCCTATTCCAAATACTGAGTGGAACAATGTTGATGCTGATGCACCACTTATTTAATGACATCAGATCCATATATGGTCTGCCAAGAAGTATGATGTGGCACTATAGAAACTACTGACCTTCTTCCTTATTCAAGAAGCATGAGCCAGCATTCCAAAAAGCATTCGCTTCTCTTATGCTGTGCCTCATACCTCTGCAAGCCTCTGGAAAGGGTAGACATTATACATAGTTAAAGAATAGTAGGACTACCTGTAGGACAAAGGAAGTCATGGCCTCTGCATTTTCATTAGCTGCTTATTGCTTGTTAAAGGAAGTACTTGTGTTCACATCATAGATTCTTCTCTGCGCATACACAAAGAGGTATGGTTACTACAAAGCAAGTGGAGTGGGGAAACCACCGAAGAAGTATGTTCCCTCTGCTACATGGAGGAGACAGGATTTATTGCTTTCTTTGAGAAAGAGAGTGGCCAGTTAGCTTCCTCTCCCTTCTTCTGGTGGATCATTCCAGAGGAATATTATATCTCATCATGTTTATCTCCAAATAAAGTAGAAGTAAATGAAGGATAGCTGGAGGCAGAGAATCCGCTGAGATGTGCTAGGAATACTTGGCTGGGCGCGGTGGCTTGTGCCTTGTAATCCCAGCACTTTGGTAGGCCAAGGCAAGTGGATCACCTGAGGTCAGGAGTTCGAAACCAGCCTGGCCAACGTGATGAAACCCTGTTTCTACTAAAAATACAAAAAATTAGCCAGGCTTGGTGGCAGGTGCCTGTAATCCCAGCTACTCGAGGCAGGAAAATCGCTTGAACCCGGGAGGCAGAGGTTGCAGAGAGCCAAGATCATGCCACTGCACTTCACCCTGAGCAAGAAGAGTGAAACTCCATCTCAGAACAAAACAACAACAAACACCTTGCTGATAAGAGAGAATGGCTGATGAGTGGCACATCCCAGAGCAGTCCCCAGTCTCCTGCTTTCCTCTAGTTTGACCTTTATGACCACAGTGAGCAGATGTTCAGCTCACAGCTTTTCCATTTTGATTTCTGTGCATATTTGCATGGTATATGATTCATCTAACACTCAGAGTTCTTATTGAGTTTTCAGAAGTACACTTGATGCATCTTTTTTTCTGTTTTTCAGTTTCCATTTCTGGGGGAAATATTCCACTTTTCTTGTTCTTTGAAATAATACAATATCTGGCATGTAGTAAACACTTAAAACGATAGTTATATATTAATAATTTTACTGTTAATATACAAGTGATAATTTGTAACTAAGTTTTTAATAATATCTTAATATATAAAGAATTTTTCTACTTTTCCTTACTTCAGGGGGTGGCCTGTTGTGATTGTTTTATTACATTTTGAAAGGATACTGCCATAGCCTTATAGATTTATTTTTTTACTACGTATTATACTTCTTTCCAAGATTTTCAGAAATATGAATCATTATATTACATTCTGTAGATCTGCACTATTCAGTGAGTAGCCACTACCATGTATGTCTAATTAAATTTAAATTTAATAAAAATTAAATGCAATTAAAAACATACTCAGTTGGACTAGCTAAATTTCGAGTCCTGAAGAGCCACATGTGGCTAGTGGCTACCCATTGGACAACAGGAATATAGAACATTTCTGTCGTTGCATTAAGTTTTGAGAGGCTGAGACTGGCAGATCCTTGAGGTCAGGAGTTTGAGACCAGCCTGGCCAACATGATGAAATCCCATCTCTACTAAAAATACAAATTTAGCTGAGTATGGTGGAACATGCCTGTAATCCCAGCTATTCAGAAGGCACTGCTTGGGATTTTAGTAGTCAATACTCTTGTGCTCTTTTCTCAGAAATTGAAGAGGATATATTTTCTAGGGTGTTCCTAAGACTAATCTCTTAATGTTTCAGGGCTTTGAACGTGCATTTTGAAGATTCACATTACTGTTTTTATTCCAGCCCCTTTGTGTCATTACCATATTTTGGAATAAATACAGGCACTTTCACATCCTCCAAGAAGATTATACTACCATAAATATTATTTTGTTTCTTTTTATTTATTTATTTTGAGACTGTGTCTCTGTTGCTTGGGCTGGAGTGCAGTGGTATGATCACAGCACGCTGCAGCCTTGACCTCCCAAGTAGCTGGAACTATAGGTGCATGCCACCACGCCTGGCTAATTTTTATATTTTTGTAGAGATTTGGTTTTACCATGTTGCCAAGTCTCAAACTCCTACGCTCACACAATTCTCCTGCCTCAGCCTCCCAAAGTGCTGGAATTACAGCTGTAAGCCACCATGCCAATCCTTACCATAAATTTTAAAGGTCTCAGCCAACAATAAGAGAATCCCACAGGAAGAAGTAGCAAAGTAGAAGTAATTCTAGCATATACTCCACAGAGTGGTTACTCAAATTGTGAACATAGAATCCTTGAGGGTTAAGCGGTAAAGGAGTGATGTCCTTTTTGTAAGTGTTACTTACAAAATACTTTTGTATTACTCATGATCTAACTTTTCCTTGTGAGAAAGGTATTAAACAGCAATTTTTTCTTTAATAATCCTTTTTATATTTATGTTACTTTAGTTTTTTGAGCCAGGGTCCCTCTCTATTGCCCAGGCTAGAGTTTAGTGGCGAGATCACAGCTTACTGCAGCCTCCTGGGCTCAACTGAGTCCTCTTACTTCAGTCTCCTGAGTTGCTGGGATCACAGGCATGCACCACCATGTCCAGCTAAAATTTTTTTAATTTTTTGTAGAGATGGGGTCTCACTGTATTGCCCAGGCTGGTCTCAAACTCTTGAGTTCAGGCGATCCCCCCACCTCAGCCTCCTAAAATGCTGGGATTACATGTGTGAGCTACCACACACCTGGCCATTAAGTACTTTTAAAGTGATTTTTTCATTTGTTCTTTACAGCAGCCCATTGAAGCAAGTAGCATTGGGATTATTATTCCCATTTTACTAATAAGAAAACTGAAATTCAGTTAAGTTACTTGCCTGAAGTCTTTTTTTTTTTTTTGGCAGAGTCTCACTCTGTCATCCAGGCTAGAATGCAGTGGTGTGACCTCTGTAACCTCCACCTCTTGGGTTCAAGTGATTCTCATGCCTCAGCCGCCCTAGTAGCTAGGATTACAGGCATGTGCCACCGTGCTTTCTAATTTTTATATTTTTAGTATAGAAGGAGTTTTGCCATGTTGGTCAGGCTTGTCTTGAACTCCTGACCACAAGGATCTGCCAGCTTCAGCCTCTCAAAGTGCTGGGACTACAGACATGAACCACCATGCCCAGCCATGTTACTTGCCTAAAGTCTTAAAGGAAAAAATAAACATTAAGGCAAAATAGAGTTGAGATTCAAATCAGGGTAAAATTTTAATGCCAAATTCAGCATTTTTAGTTTTGTTTTTACTTTGTTTTTGTTCTACTGTCCTATCACTCCAACTATAATAAAGAAAAGAGTGAAAGTTCTTTAGGGGAACTGAGCTACTCTCAAAGAATTGCTGCAGTCTCATTTGTCCTGTGACCATGTGCTTGGGGTGCCATAACAGAATACCACAGACTGAGTGGCTTAAACAATAGAAATCTATATTCTCAAAGTTCTGGGAGCTAGAAGTTCAACGTCAAGATGCTAGCAGGAGAAGCTAGAGATGAGGCCACTTTCCTCAGCTTACAGATGGCACCTTTTTGCTGAGTCCTCATGTGGCATTTTTTTCTGTGTGGAAGAAAGAGATCTCTCTCATGTCTCATCCTTTTGTTTTAAGGAAACCAATATTATCAGATTAGGGCCTCATCTCTATGACTTTATTTAACCTTAATTACCTTCTTAAATGCCCTGTCTCCAAATGTAGTCACATTGGGAGTTAGGACTTCAGTGTACAAATTTCGGGGAGACATAGTTCAGTCTGTAACACCATGTTAATGGGTTTTTAGTGTCTTTTGATATTCTGGCTCAATCTGGTTAGGTGGAAACTAAATTTAGTATTTACATGGGACCAAATGTAGCAAATATCTGTATTGTTTATTTCCGTGAATACAGAGGCTTAGTTAAATTCAACCTGTGGTACTTTCTGTAAGGTACCTTGCAACTCCAAGATATTCTAATGGCAAAAAAAGCTGTATCTAAATTTCCTACTTTTCTTATAATGTAGCCCAATTTGTTAATAATTAGAGATCTCAGTACTTTATAGGTAATAAATGTTCCTTTCCCTCCTCCCCACCCACCTTTTTTACAGATGGAGAAATTAGCATCCAGAGAAACTGACTTGTCAGAAGTCAGAGCAAGGTATTGGTGGATCTGGGGATAAATCCCAAGCTTCTTAACTCCTAGACCGGTTTTTAATCCATTGACTATGCAGCCTAGTGGTAAGTATCTTTTTACCCTATCCTGGAGGTAAGAGGGATTAAGAGACCTAGCAAGGACTGACGTTTAGGAATTCCTCATTACTAATTAGACTACTTGTTATCCTTTTCTGTATAGCCATGATGACATTTTTGTCATTGGTATGAATTTTCCACATTGGGAGAAGAGTTTTGAAGTTTTGCTTTTTAAATACTTAAAAATATTTTTGTAGCGGTTTCGCTACATGAGAAATAATCATTAAGAAAGGAAAGAAAGGAAACTAATGAATTTGTTCACTGTGTCCAACAGAAATACAATGCAAGCCACTTATATAAATTTTACTAGTGGCCATATTGAGAAAGGTAAAAAGAAGGAGGGGCACAGTGGCTCACACCTGTAATCCCAGTACTTTGGGAGACCCAGGTGGGCCAATTGCTTGAGCCCAGGAATTGGAGACCAGCCTGGGCAACATGGCAAAACCCTGTCTCTACAACGAATACAGAAAAGTAGCCAGTCATGGTGGTGTGAGCCTGAAGTTACAGCTACTAGGGAGGCCATAACACTTTATCACACTTGTGTAACTCTCTCTCTTCTAGACTAAGAGAGGGTGCCTTGTTGTTTTTTAATCCTTTTAATGAATGCAGTTTCAGTACAGAAATTATCAAAGATTTTAAGAGTGTTATTTTGAAAATAGTAAGTTGGAATACATAGTTAAAGAATACTACGGCATGTTTCTAAATGGAATTTAAATGTCAAATTGAATAAGATTTAATAGGAAGCTTTCCAGTGCTCTTTAAACCTATAATGTTGCATTTATTGATTCATTTTATTGACCTAGATATGTGAGGTAGTAAGGAGAATGAGACATAATCTTTACTGACAAATAGTTCATAATTAAAACATGCATGTGGTCAAACACAAATATACATAAGATATAGTTAGTTGCTACTATAATCTCTCAACTCCCGTAATATTGTTTGATGCTTAGTGAAAGAGAATTCCAAGGTTGGATAGGATCTTAGAAATTTATCTAGTTATCTCCCTTTACAACCTGTGAATTTTTCTCAGCTTGGAAAAGTTTCAGCATCTTTGGTGATAAGTGTCATTTAGCCTTTCTGCTTGCACATTTCGGTGTAAACCAATCCTCCACAGGACAATTCTCATTGCCAGAAAGTCTCTTTCTGACATCTGTTTCCCTGTAGTGAATGCTTTGTTGAATGCCTCCAGTCAAAAGATACATTTTGTGAAATCTCTGGTGAGCATTCCAGTAGCATGTAAGCTAGAACAGAGGTTTTTATCTGGTTTGTTTAGTCATATATCTCCAGTGCCTAGAATAATGACTGTCAAATAATGGTAATAAATGTTTGTTGAATGAATGAATCTAAACAGAAGCAGGATTTAGAGCATTATTTCAATTTAGTTTTTTAATTGTCAGATTTACTCCCTTCGTGGATTATTACTTATCTTTCATTGCTGTTTCCTAATCAATTCTTTCCCTGTATGACATAGTTTAACTTATTGAGCCCTAGATTTTTCATCTGTAAAAAGATATTATTAATGCTTGAGATGAAATATATGAAAATGCCTGGCACTGGGCCTGGTATGTATAGTAATGGTAGGTATTAGTTGAATCTGAATGGAATCAGTTCAGCAACCTCTGAGTCTCCCCTGATCCTGACATCCCAGGAGCGCAAGTTTATTTTTTTAAATTAAATCTCAAAAAATACACATAACACAGAATTTGCCATTTTAATAATATTTTAGTGTTCAGTTCAGTTACACTAAAGACATTCACATAGTTGTGTACCCATCACCATCATCAATCTCTAGAACTTTTTCATCTTGCAGAACTGAAACTGTACCCATTAAAAATGGTAGTTCAGGCTGGGCGTGGTGTTTCACGCCTATAATCCTAGCACTTTGGGAGGCCGAGGCGGGTGGATCACGAAGTCAAGAGATCGAGACCATCCTGGTCAACATGGTGAAACCCCGTCTCTATTAAAAATGCAAAAATTAGCTGGGCGTGGTGGCGTTCGCCTGTAGTCCCAGCTACTTGGGAGGCTGAGGCAGGAGAATTGCTTGAACCCAGGAGGCGGAGGTTAAGGTGAGCCGAGATCGCGCCATTGCACTCCAGCCTGTGGAACAAGAGTGAAACTCCGTCTCAAAAAAAAAAAAAAAAAAGGTAGTTCATTTTTAGTATTAGCTTAGGTAAAGCATGACAGAAATGATAAATCTGTAGTAGAAAAAAAATACATTCTAAAAGTGAATATAAATGACATATTACCTGCAGTTTTAGATTATCTGTTTTCAGTTATTCTTTATTAATATGAATAATTGCTGTCTTACCATAGTGGCTTCTAAGTATTTTCTATGTCACAGTTGTCTTGATGAGAGTATGCATTGAAATATTATTGACTTTTTAATATGGATAATTTTTCTCTCATTGCATAACTTTCTGCATTTAGTAAAAAGACAACTTTTTTTTTTGTTTTTTGACTGCTTGCTGTGCGCCAAGCTCTAGGAATACTGACTGGCTTAAGATTATTTAGCTCTTACACTCTGACAGGCATAAATGTAGAGCTGTCACCAGAAAGCTGTTACAAAAAATATTTGTCCTGGACTGTGAGGAATAAATAGGAATTTCCCAAATAGAGAATAGGGGAAGGTCCAGAGGTATGAAAGAGTATGAGTTTGGATGCAGTTTATGGTCGTATGAGCTTGGAAAGAGATATGTTTGGATACAATTTAGGGATTGATCCTGGAAGACTTTTAAATGGGGTAGTGACATGTTTCGTCTGTTTTGTATTTTAGAAAAATAATGCTGATCTGTGACTGGAAAGCAGTAAGAACAAACATAGGAATTAAATAACTGTTTTTATTTGTCAAGGTGAGAGATAATGAAATCCTAAACTCTGACAAGGTGCAGGGGAGATTAAAGAGAAGAGATGGTATTATTTTAGAGGTACAACTGACAGAATTGGATAACCAATTGGATTTGGAAGGATTACGGGTTTCTAATTTGTTATGTTAACTGGGATAGGGACTGCCAGAGAAGAAACATAATACTTGGAGCAAAGGAATAAAACTGATTATTAAATAGTACCTATATATTATAATATACTATGAAACATAGTCATTATTCTTAGAACACTTTGAAAAAATGACAGGTGACTAACCCTTTTTTAATGTGTAAAATTCTGTCGGATGCTGTATTCTCTTTATTTTGGGACAGTTGCCTGATTCAGGGACAATTACCTGATTCACTGAGTAGTTTATGGCAATACTTAAAAATTACACATTTTGTAATGCAGTTGTTTCTTTTTCTTGAATGCTGCTCTCCATGTTCCAGCAGTTTGTACCAAGAGTCTTATTTCTTTTTTCTTTTTTTCATTTTGACATATTTATTTATTTATATTTTTCAGCTGAAGGCTTCGATTTTTATATAGAAGGAATCAGAATGGATCATTCCACAAAGCACAGCAGCCACAGGCATCTGTCTCCATGCACTTGGCTTTCGCGTCTCCTAGGGCCAACCCTCTGCTTTGCATTGAAACCTGTTTCCCACTCCTCCTCAAAGACTTTGCTCCTGGAATTATTTCCATTCCTGCCTCATCTTTTCTTTTTCTTTCTTTTTATTGCATTTTAGGTTTTGGGGTACATGTGCAGAACATGCAAGATAGTTGCATAGGTACACACGTGGCAGTGTGATTTGCTGTCTTCCTCCCCTTCACCCACATCTGGCATTTCTCCCCATGCTATCCCTCCCCAGCTCCCCACCCCCTGCTGTCCCTCCCCATTCCCCCCAATAGACCCCAGTGTGTAGTGCTCCCCTCCCTGTGTCCATGTGTTCTCATTGTTCATCACCCACCTATGAGTGAGAATATGCGGTATTTCATTTTCTGTTCTTGTGTCAGTTTGCTGAGAATGATGTTCTCCAGATTCATCCATGTCCCTACAAAGGACATGAACTCATCGTTTTTGATGGCTGCATAATATTCCATGGTGTATATGTGCCACATCTTTCCAGTCCAGTCTATCATCGATGGGCACTTGGGTTGGTTCCAGGTCTTTGCTATTGTAAACAGTGCTGCAATGAACATTTGTGTGCATGTCCTTATGGTAGAACGATTTATAGTCCTTTGGATATATACCCAGTAATGGGATTGCTGGGTCAAATGGAATTTCTATTTCTAGGTCCTTGAGGAATTGCTACACTGTCTTCCACAATGATTGAACTAATTTACACTCCCACCAGCAGTGTAAAAGTGTTCCTGTTTCTCCACATCCTCTCCAGCATCTCTTGTCTCCAGATTTTTTAATGATCACCATTCTAACTGGCATGAGATGGTATCTCGATATAGTTTTGATTTGCATTTCTCTGATGACCAGTGATGGTGAGCATTTTTTCATGTTTGTTGGCCTCATGTATGTCTTCTTTCGTAAAGTGTCTGTTGATATCCTTTGCCCACTTTTGAATGGGCTTGTTTTTTTCTTGTAAATCTGTTTGAGTTCTTTGTAAATTCTAGATATCAGCCCTTTGTCAGATGGGTAAACTGCAAACATTTTTTCCCGTTCTGTTGGTTGCCGATTCATTCTAGTGACTGTTTCTTTTGCCGTGCAGAAGCTGTGGAGTTTGATTAGGTCCCATTTGTCTATTCTGGCTTTTGCTGCCAATGCTTGGTATTTTGGTCATGAAGTCCTTGCCTACTCCTATGTCCTGAATGGTTTTGCCTAGATTTCCTTCTAGGGTTTTTATCGTGCCAGGTCTTATGTTTAAGTCTTTAATCAATCTGGAGTTAATTTTAGTGTAAGGTGTCAGGAAGGGGTCCAGTTTCTGCTTTCTGCACATGGCTAGCCAGTTTTCTCAACACCGTTTATTAAACAGGGAATCCTTTCCCCATTGCTTGTTTTTGTCAGGTTTATCAAAGATTGTATGGTAGTAGATATGTTGTGTTGCCTCCGATGCCTCTGTTCTGTTCCATTGGTCTATATCTCTGTTTTGGTACCAGTACCATGCTGTTTT